AAATGGGGCACATTTGAGGCATGTGGAAGAGACCTAAGTCCAAATGGGGCACATTTGAGGCACATTTTTAAAATTAGAGTCCAAATGGGGCACATTTGAGGCACATTGACAAAATTAGAGTCCAAACGGGGCACATTTGAGGTATACTTTAAAAATACCCCAGAAGTAGAGGTACATTTTAGGCATGCCTAAAATGTACCTCGGGCCAAAGGTACATTTTAGGCATGAAAAAGGCATGAAAAAGGCATGCCTCAATGTACCTTTTTTTAGCCTGGGTTCAGAATAACACAAATGAGATAATGCAATGTTATATGCAGGATTATTTATGTTTTAAAGGTCTCACAAATTTCTCACAAAAAATCTAACTATTTTTGACCAAATCTCACTAAAAAAAAATCACTGATCTCACTATTTTGCACCGGAAAGTTATGGCATGCATGTATTCCATCTCCCATTACAGTGGCGCCTGTGACCAACCCTTGTTACAAGCATTTGGTGTATGCTTGGCAAGGGGATACCTGGACCTTGGTTGTAAAAAGTTATCTCTTTGTTCAAAGGGCAACATTTTAGAAAAAGGAGAGAGGAATGTAGTGAAACTAGACTGGGAGAGCATCAGTCTAGAGTTCTTAGGGTCCTGGGTTCGAACCCTGGTCTGGCCATTCATTTTTCCACCTCCTATTACAATGGACAAATTATTGGTTACACTGCAGTAGCTTGAAGTTTCAGACTTAATAGTCTGTATTGATAAGCAGAGTCCATGAGTATATATACAAAGGCGTTGTTATATATGTTGGTATTTAAGACAAAATCACTTTTACTGTTTGTTAATTTACTGCATGTTTTCATCTGTTTTTTATTAAGCTCTCCTTTTTCAGCATCTGTATATGTGGGTATACGCACAGGGTCCCTAAGGAAATATAACGCGTCGGGGGAGGAGTGCTAGGTAGTATAGTAGTTCCGAAGGGTGAGGGTTTCTTTGAAATTCTCTACCGTGGTACTATGCCTGAAGATGTCGGTCAGATTGCAGGGGCGTTTCTAGGATATTTGAAAGAGGGGGCATAGTATCAAATTTTTCGCCGAGCGAAGTGACAAAAAAAATTAATTTGGACCTTTTTTTTTGCTAAAAAACATAAAATAATTGTGAAATGCACTAATGTAACGGTTCCTGACTTGGAGCATGTATATTTTATAGTTAAAGTGTCAGGGTGTTTATGTGTTTAATTAATGAATATGATAAATTGCCATATATTTAATACAATATAAGCAGATTACGATAGTTGTTTTTTTTGAAAAGGGGGGAGCGTACGCCCATTACGCCCTCACCTAGTAGTCTTATTGAAGAAAGAGTTATTAAATTGTTCTGTTTTACAATTCTGGGCCTTGAAACACTTACAGTAGAGTTATTATAGGTGTAATTTTCAACAGCATTTTTATAATAACAGTCACTAAAATGAATCCCGCGGGCGAATTTTACGTTTATTTCCGGCAACTGGAGTTAGGAATTCATGCGAGGGCAAGGCTGGCACCACACCCTCAACCACTTTATAGAACATGACCAGGCGAAGCATACGACGTAGTTCAGGCCCGCTTTTCTTAACATTTTGGTCACACATCCTTCCTCTCGTGAACGAAAGTCTCCGGACACTGGACCGACAAGTCTTCGATTCTGGAGGCATTTCTGGATCCAAAGATCACGGAAGCAAAATATATATATTTTTTAAGGGTATTTTTTCCGGCAGCAACTTCGTCATTTCCCTCCAACTTGCGTAATGTCTAAATAGACAACCATGACATGCGAGTTTGACATTTGTAAACACTGGGGGTTCGATGAAGAAAAGATACATTATATGCCTACATAAGAAAAGGGAATCATATTATCAAAGATGATGATTAAAGAACAACACGCGGATATTTTTGATTTGTTATGGTTTCCCTCCGATCTCAAGTTCCCTATATTTTTTCACCTGAAAATCCACCAACATCTGATCTCGTTCACCATCCGCCATTGTTGATTTGTAATTGTGCGCAGGTTTTTATTTACTTCCGGTCTCTGTACGCAGTTTCGTTTTCATGTTATGCATCTCAGCAAACGAACAGCCCAGAAAACATTCAAGTAATTTCTTTAAACACCCACAATGAAATGCTCAGGACGATTTAATTAAATGATGTCAAAACGAAAATGATATTATTCCATGCGAGTTATGCCCCTTTGACAAGTTTTTTTCTTGTTGTAACAAAACTTTCTATTTATGGATTTCTCGGAAAACCACTTGAAATATATATCTAAATGCTTGTTTATTACGAGGACAATGGAGTTACAGAAATCATTGATGTATACAAACCTACTACTGGCCAGACCATACGTTTAGGCCTATCATATTTGATTGACTCATCTACTCTACATTTAACATGTTCTCTCCAAACCAGCCTTTTGAATGTCGGTTCCCTGTCTTCCTCTTCTTCTTCTTCCATATAATTGCCTCCTTCGTCTTATCGAAGATTATGCAATGTTTATGATACACAATGCGCAGGTGAACACACAATTGAAAAGTGTAGATTGTAAAAGTTAAAAATTAAAAAACACTGATGTAGTATCAGACGTTTAAAGCTGGTTGATTCGACCCAGTGAGTTCGGGGTTTATTAGAAGTTTAAGCTTTTTTAGTTCCAATTCGTTGAGAGCTTTCTTAAAGGTTTCCAAGTTTGTCGAGTTCACAGTTTTTGAGTCAAGTTCGTTCCAGTCTTTTATCGTTCGAGGGAAGAATGAATATTTTCTTGAGTCTATTTTACATGCCTGGATCATTGGTAGGACCGATCGTGTTGTTTTCTGGACCTCCTCATTGGTGTTTCGATTCGGTTTTCCTTTTCGATGGCTATTTGTTGTTTGTCAATTTTGAACACCATATGGAGTCTTGAGTGACGTCTTCTTGTTTGGAGTGAAATCCAGCCTAGGCGTTGGATCATGGATGAAACGCTTGAACGGTTTCTGTGGCTGTTCATGATAAATCTGACTGCTCTCCTCTGTCCTATAAAGCCATGCGTGAGGCTGTAAAAATACGTTTTCGGCTTGATAGTGGCCGGATAAAGTTTCCAAATTATATCTCATGTTTTGTATGTTTGTCCAGGGATGTGTAGTACACATGTCCAGGGATGTGTAGTACACATCCCTGGTTTGTCAAGAAAGCATGAAAACAAGAATTCATACGATGTCAAGGAACATAGATAAATATTTGATACTATCGCTATGATTTGTAAATTGCATGCTCTATATGAAAAAGTCAAGACAGTTTTAGAGATTCAGAAATATGTGTCTTTGCACGATGTTACTGAGACAACGAATCGTACTATTTTCATAAGTAGTATCAGTTATATCACAGAAGCGGCGGAGATCTCCTACCCAAAAACTAATAAGCAATTCATTGCATTAACGGACGACCGCAATTATGCTATCAGGATTGGTAATCTGATTTGTGCCCGCCCATGGAGATGTAGTCCTAGGGTCCTAGCATGGAAACGGCCGAAGTCACCACCCTTTACTTTACACAATCAGTCAATGGAAATGAAGAGAAAAATACACGCATGCTACACAACTTTTTTTAGATCCAGGGTACTAGGTCCTTTGGTCATAACTTAGAAACAGTTGGGATCACAACCCTATACATTCATGTGTTTGCTAAACACGGAGAAACAAACACAATTATGCTAATATAATATGCCCTGGAGTTGGGCCTCGCCCTTCAAGTTTCAAGTTTTATTATATCCAAATGCAATACAGCATATAGGTTACTAACATACATAATTAAATATTCAAAATTCATATGTGATGTACAAGATGGCGGAGGACAATTCCATTCAAATATATATATATGCCTACAAACATGTAATAATGATATCACTTGCAGTTTTACAGCTTGATTTTTCGTAAAGTTGTGAGAAGTATATACCAATATAATCATATGTGTGACTTTACTACCTGTATATATATGACGTCATGAAAGGATGACATCATAATGAAAACACTACATATAACTTCAAACAGCCAGAAAGAATCATGGGATGTCATTAAAGAACTATTTAACGCGCTATTAACGAATCTTAAATAACTATTATTATACATGTACACTTATAACAAAGTAGTTTTAAATAATGTTTTAATATAATATCACTACTGAGCGAGGAGAATTTTCCTTTTAGAAGTAGCGTGCCACAAATATTTACCCAGTCTATTTATAGATTTAACAAGTTTACAGGTAAATAATTCTATTAGTTTATAGACACTTGGAGGTTGATACTAATACTGTTTAATGTATGTTTTTCTTAAATCAGAATATGCAGGACAAAGTAGTACAAAATGTACTTCATTTTCGATATCATTTTTATCGCAGACTGTAATATTCTCTGACCTCTTGGAATGTTATTATAGCGCCCAGATTCTATGTTAAGACTATGTGCTTGCTTGCGAAATTGACTCAATAACTTTTTTATCCTTATATTGATGGGCTTAGTCAGATAGAACTGGACGCAAAAGGTATCAACAAGATGCTTGTACAAATAACATTTTGAAGATGCATCAAAAGCACTGCGTAATTCTTGGATAAATACATCATGAACACGTTGAGCATACATTTGCAAAAAAAAATTTTCATTTTGTACATATTGGCAAGTCCAAATATAATTAAAACCCAAACTACATAGTTCATGCTTAATTTGATAAACCCAATTAATTTTACAATTAGGTTTTCTGATAATCAATTCGACTAATGCGTCGCAACATGATTTTAAAACACAGTTACTAGTATTTAAATTTTTTAACCAATATCTCATTATGGCCATTTTACGTTGCACATATAATGAATATCTCCCAGTTTCAAAGTAAACCATAGAAGTATTGACAGTTTTCTTAACATTTAATAGGTCTTTGAGAAAAAGGAGATGGATTTTTTCAATTTGTGGCGATACATTATGCCCCCAAACTTCACACCCATAATTCAATATACATGCAACATATGTATCGAATAAAGACATTATAGTTTCCGTATTAAGGGCAAAATCTTTCATTTTTCTTTTTAAGTGGTAATATGCTTTCCGTCCTTGACAAGCTAATGTATCTTGTGTTACAGTAAATCTTCCATTATAGTTAAAAACTAATCCAAGATAACAAAACTTATCAACAATTTCGATAGATTTACCATTGAAAGTCCAAATTTCATAAGGTAACATTCTTTTTCTTTTTCTAAAAACAATAATTTTAGTTTTTTCTATATTAACATTTAAACTCCATTTTTCAGTGTATGTCTGTAAACGATCTAGCATATGCTGAAGATCGGTAGCATCCTCCGAGAATAAAACTGTGTCATCCGCATACATCAGCATAAACAGGTTTAATAACTGTAATTCATAACTTTGACAATTAGAATTTATAAATTCACTTTCCATATCATTTACAAATAATGAAAAAAGTATGGGAGATAACGATTCCCCTTGTAATAATCCGACATGTAGATCAAACATGGCGGATAATTTACCATGTAATTTCACACATGAACATACATTATCATAAATTGATTTAATTACCTTAAGGAGTCTACCCCTAATACCACTTCTCCAAAGTTTATACCACAAATTCTGGTGTGTCGCACTATCAAATGCCTTACTCTAATCAATAAAAGCGCAATAAAGCCTCTTGTTTCGTTCTATCGAATTGATAATTAAACTATGTAATCCAAAAATTGCGTCTCTTGTACCAAACCCAGGCTTAAAACCAAACTGAGCATAGGAAACAATATTTTCTCGTTTACTCCATTTTAACAGACGTTTATTTAACAACAACGTAAACAGTTTAGCTAAATGGCTAACTAATGTAATTCCCCTATAATTATTGACATTGTTGCTATCGCCCCTTTTATGTAAAGGAATAATGACGCCTTGAGCCCATGACTCTGGAAAATATCCTATTTGCAACATAGCCCTTAAGCTTGGGGACCTATTTGCAGTATTGACTTTAAATGAGTTTATTTTTATACGATTGATTTATAGCCAGTTAGCAATGCAGGCAACCTGGGCCTCTTGTTATATATGCATTTGAAAGCAGTAAGTATAGCCATCGGTCTTCAACGACAACCCTGCCGACATTATTATATTTAACAACGACAACCCTCCCAACACTATAATATTTAACAACGACAACCCTCCCAACACTATAATATTTACCAACGACAGCCCTGCCAACACTATAATATTTACCAACGACAGCCCTGCCAACACTATAATATTTA